AGTTCCTATGTGTAGCTTTTAGGAAAAAGGCATCACTTCCAATTGATTCTCACAGCCAAAACTAGCTCCAATTTTTCCCAGAAAAGTGGGCAGAAAATGGGAGCTGAAGAGATCTTAAGAGCTGGTTTAACTAATACTTGAGATAAATTCCCAAGTAGTCAAAACCCCACACAACTGGGCCACTTGGGCTAAAATTATTTCACTCTTACCCAAGTGGAAGAGCTGTGAACACAGAGATTCATATAAAACTTGCCTGTGGTATTTGAGACAGAAAGGGTTACTAATGGTAGGTTATTCCACGGTGTTGCAATATCAATGACATAAAAGCTGGAGAAGGGACCCCCTACCCCCAGATGGAATGCTGGACATTATCTTGCCTTAGACCAGTCTGACTAGTCTGACTCAGAAGCACCTTAGAGAACTAGAATAACTGAGTACAAAAAGCTGTTTCAGGAGAAAGAAAGGTCCCAGGAGGTCAAGTCATTTTCTTTTTGACCCATCAATACTTAATACTTAATGAAGAGACTCAGAGCAGAGTCAGTCTTTCCTGTCATCAGTAACCGAGCCAGGCCCTGCCTATTAGGCCTGTACTGTCCAGACCTGCCCCACTGCTGGCAGCTAGCGTGCAAAATAATTTGTACAGTGACGTTGCCACTAAGCCACTGCTTAAGTCCGGTGCCCAGCCTTCTTCTTCTGTTCTGTGGTCCAGAAGTGTTACTTTAAAAGCCAGAAAATCCATAAACATGAGCAGCACGTTGAATATGTCCCCGGCCTCTTCGTCGTCAGGGTACCACGAAGATGTTGGCTGCTGCGAAAGCCACCGTGTTAACTTCACTCTAGGATTCCACTCCGACAGTGGTTCTTCCGTTTCTACCAAACACCTGTTCTTTAAAATAGGCCCGTACAGGAGTTTATTCTCGTCCATGCCTGCCAACCTGTTAGTATTTGTCCGTGAAATTTCTCTATACCACCTGGAACTCATCATCCAGGATAATAGCCTCTAAATAACCAATGACAGCATCAAATTCTGCACGCAGAGCGGAGAGACGGACAGCATGAAGCTGTCCTCTTAGGTTAGGCCTGGTTGGTGGAAGCCGTGGCTGCCTCCAGCTGCTTTGGCCACAGGGGACGCGTCTGCGCCTGCGCACAGGGCTCTGCCTCAGCTCCCCGTGGCCGGGGTCTGCGTGTCTGTCACCCAGCGCTGACATGCACGCTTATACAATAAACCTGAAAAGACCCTTTCTATAGGATTTTTATGTAAGTACATCCCATACCTGTGAATATTCTTGATAAAACTGATGGCAGTAGAAATGCTGAACAATAGTATTTGATTTGAAAATGAAGTTATCTTGAGGTAGGAGTACTTAACTTGCAATTCGAAGATTCTGCGATCCCAGAATATATTTTTAAAACTCTAAAAATTCAACATTAAAAACAAACAATCCAAGTATAAAATAGGCAAAAGACATGAACAGATATTTCAGCAAAGAGGAGTTAAGGATGGCAAATAAACCCATTAAAAGGTGTTCAACATCCATTAGCCGTAGGGAGAATGCAAATTAAAATCACAATGAGTTATCTCTACACAACTATTGGAGCAAATGAAATTTTGTTAAAAAAAAAAAAAATAGTGACAATTCCAAATGCTGGTAAGGATGTGTGGATCTGTCATAAACTGCTGGTGGAAATGTATGATACAGCCACTCTGGAAAATAGTTTAGCAGTTTCTTATTTAGCATATGACCCAGCAATTGCATTCTTGGGCATTCATCCCAAAGAAAAAAAAACTTATGTTCTCACAAAAAACTATATAGAAATGTTTACGGAAGTGTTTTTCATAATAGCAGAACACTGGAAACTCCTCAGATGTCCTTCAGTGGATGATGAATGGATAAACAAACTCTGAAACATCCAGGCAGTAGAAATTTACTCAGCAATAATAAGGAAGGAACTATTGATACATGCAGCAGCCTGTACGAAACTCAAGGGCATTATACTTAGTAAAAAAAAAAAAATCAATCTGAAAACATTACATACTGTATGCTCCCATTAATATAACAGTCTCAAAATGATAAAACTCTAGAGATGGAGAACTGATTAATGGATTAATGGTCAGGTGGGGATGCAAATACAAAGAGGTAGTAGGAGAGGATTCTTTTGTGATAATGGAATAGTTGTCACAATATCACAATGGAACATAACACATAGAACAGTTCTGTATCTAGATTGGGGAATTTTTTTTTCTTAATCCTATGAATTTGGTAAAATATTTACTATAAAAGCTAGTCCAGAGTTTTTAAATCGCTTTTGTGCAGTACGAACATGAAAGTATTTAAAGACACAATGTTGGTTTAATGCCACTTAGGTACTCATTTTTATGTTTATTTAAAGCAAATAGTACTAATTTTATTAGCAAACAAGCAACAATTTTAGCATACAAAAATGAATTATTTTGTGGTAATTACAAGAACAAGGCTATATATTCAGGGCAGTGATTCTAGGGTTATTTGCTATTGTCCCTTTTCTCTCCTTAAATACAGTCTGTACAACTTGCTTGTTTTTCTCCAACTTTTCCAGAATTTGAGGTTTTATACATAAAGTTTGGGGTTATCTAGCACCATGTGGCAACATCTTCCTCAGATCACTCGCCTTATTCAGAAGGACTTTCCAGATCAATGACTTTTCTTTTGCCATATCTAAATTACTGTTGATACGCATTTATTTTCCTGAAAGTTCTTCCAGTCAATTTCCTTCAGATTTATGCATTCAACTAGGCAATTCCAAGATAACTGGCTGTTCTTTACCCACTTTGGAAGGAGCATCTTTTGGAAGGCTTGCCAAGCCTTGATGCCCCCTGGGAGTACAGAGTTCTATAGCTGCAGATCTATAGCCTGCCACCTGGGGTCTTTGCGTGGGTGTCTTTCTGGCCTCAGCACCTGCCTGTTATTTAAGACAGGCATGCCACTTAACTCTTGTTAGTTTATAACTGAGAAAATAGAAGAAACTGAGGAAAGGTGTGATGTTGAAAAGCAGGTCAGTGATAAAATAATACTTTGCCACAGGCCAACCCAGGTGCAAATGCAACTGTTATAACCTCAGAAAATCAACTTTTCCATGCCTGTTACCTCACCCATCAAATAATCATGAAGATAATAGCACCTCCCTCATCCGTTGCTGTGGGGATCAAATGAGAAAATGTGTTTTAAACCTAAAACCTAGCCCTGTACCTGTTACATATGAGGGACCCAATACATGTCAATTCCCATTTCTTTTGAGTTTCTACCCTATTTTTTAGCTGCCTGAGCAGTTTGAAGAGAAATGTCTTGCAATGAAGAGGACTGATTGCTAGGAGTGAACGGGGTTAATTAACATTTCCCAAGAAATGTGTTCCTGAAAGGAATGTATATTGATTAAGCCTTTCAAAATAGAGTCATTTTAAAATAGACTAAGGGAAGTCAGTTTTATGCCAGCAAATGACCACTCCTCATGTGTCTGTCTTGAAGTTCTTAGAGTAGATGCCTGTTCTTGACTTGTCAACTACCCTCTCTTTTTGGTATCAAAGATTAGGGCCTTATTAACTCCATTTCCAAAAACAGTGCAGTGAGAATGGCTTAAACAAAGCAAGTTGCCCGTGATATCTTTCCTGGTAAAAACATTGAATTCTACTGTGTCCTGGGGTTTCTAGGGGATTCAGAGAGCACCAGACAAGCCTTTGCCTCCAAGAAAACTAGTGGGGAAAAGTAAAAATATCTAATAGACTGAAATTCATCCGGAACCCTGGGTAGAGAGTAATTCACTGGGGAAACTGAAGATGGTTTCCTAGAAGAAACTAAGGAACAGAGAGGTTTGTTTGCTTTTAGAATTTTTCCACAGATCCTATTTCTTGGAAGATAACACAATAAAATGGGCTCTCTTTTGCCCAGCCCTTCAGTATCTCAGGAATACATTGCCTGAGAAGCTCAGTGACACCAAAGATACCTTGTTGTCATCTTTGCATCCCCAGCCCTTAGCACCGGCCTCCTCAGTAAAAGTGTATTAAATGAATAAAGTCCTTAAGGTAGCTGAACACAATAGTACTTTTCTCCCCCAGTTGCCTCTTTTCCGACTGGGAGTGAGGGATTGTCAAGGCATACTAATTTTAGCAGGCATACTGAAAGCTCCCTGAGGGCAGGGACCAGGTTGGTTCTGTTCTTTGTCACCTTAGAGCTTGCTAGGCTACCTGACATCCTGTAGGCACCCCCTAATCATTTGTTGTGTGAATGCATGAAAACTGCCCCCTGTTTCTGCCCTCAAAAGTGAGAAGAGTTCCTGTGACTAGGGGTGGGCTGTCTTGGGCTTCCAAGAATGCGGACATCCTGGGGAGAGGCAAGAAGTCAATTTCACCTTCTCACTCAGCCATTTGCAAGAGGTTGTAAATCACCTCCCTGCTCGGCCAGGGCCAGCGGTGCGTCCCTAAGCCCCCTGCGGGGACCCCTCGAGCCAAGTCGCAGAGGAAGGTAACCCAGAGGGGGGAGCCAGCCAGCACGTGCAGCCGCCCAGGGGAGGAGGAGGCTGGGCTAGCGCAGCCCTTAGTCAGCAGCTGGGCTCGGTTTTGAAACAAAAGCCAATGTCCTCCCTCGGAGTCCGCGGCCGGTCAGCTCCTAGGGTGAAGAAAGCCATGCTGCCCAGCCGGTTAGTGGCCCAACTTACTTTTCCAGAGCCTGGGACAAAGGGCCAGCAGATGTCCGGGAGTGGGTGGGATGCTGGGGATGGGGGACTAGGGCCCAGATCGCCCAGATTCTCCCCTCCCGGCAGCTTGGGAAAGGGGCCGGGGTCTCCCGTGCTCTGCGCGTGTTTGTCCCGGGCAATCCGCCCGCGAGCCCGGGCCGGTCGGGTCTGCGTGCAGCGGAGGCACCTTTGCAGCCCGCGTCCCAGAGCACAGACACACCAGGCCCTGGTTTCATGAATGAAATCCAATCGTGTGGATATAAATAGCCGCGAAGGCTGCTAACGTCACAGTGCGAGCGGCGGCCGCCACGGCGGCGGAGCTAGGTGCCGGGCGCTGCGTTCCGCCCGGCCGCCCCGCCTGGGAGCGGGTGGGGGCAGGAGCGGGGAGGGCTCGCGGGTGGAAAGGGGCGAGCCCCTCTCGTCCGGACGGGCAGGCGCGGCGCGGGCGAGCCGGCGCGGCGAGGCAGTGCCATGCTGCCTTTGTGCAAAGTTGGGCGGCGGGCGGCGCGCCGCGCGCAGGGGCCCCGCACACCCGCGACCGCGCGCAGTCGTGGCTGCTGCTGAGTGGCGGGGGCCCCCCCCCGCTCCCCCCGGCCCTTGAAGGCGGAGAGAGCTCGCGTCTCGCTCGGCTCCAGGGTAGGTTCTGTGTCGTGAGTGCTCTATGGTGGAAACTTCTCCGAGCAGCCGCCGCGGAGCCCCCACCGCCCCGGCCCCAGCGGGTGGCAAGTGGGGGCCCACGACGGGGCAGTGCCAGGCGCCCAGCAGCGCCCCGAGAGAGAGAGTCGTGGGGACCGAGCTGCTATGGGGGTCGCCCTCGCCTCTCTGCGAGGCCGGGAACCCTCACATCAGAGGCAAGAAGAAGAGATTTCTAGGAGCGCCCGCACAGCCGCACCCCTAACTTGGAGCTGAGGAAATGTACAACAGGCACCCTTAGCAGGCGGGCTGCGCCAGGGAGGGGTGGTGCCGCGTCGACAGGAAGGCTCTTTTCCTTCGAAGGACAGTGGTGGGGAACCGGAGGACCTGAAAAGGGAACTACGCTAGCCCCTTTGGTGTTTGCACCCCTTTGAGAGTTGACTGGTCAGCCCGCAGCTTGGCGCTCCCCGCCCCTCCCCCCAACCCCAAGTCTGTGGAGTCTGCTGTGAGTTGCTGTGACAACAGTAGGAGCTGCCATGAGGGGCTTGCAAAACACCTTACTTTGTCTCTGTGTGCTCAGCTTTCAGGGAAAATAACCTGGGGATGGTGGTGTGCAGATAAGAGAATCCAACCCCCACCCCCCAAAAAGAAATGGAAGGAAGGCACAACTATGTAAAAATATATCATTATATCCTACTGTTAGCTGAGCCGTTTCCATCCCCAGCAGTATCTAACATGTCAACTGAGGAGCAATGTCAATATTTAGACTTGGACAAGCCAGAAAGTTAGAAGGGAGCGCCAAGCACAGGGTTTTGACTTGGCTTTGCACGTCAGCACACAAGCTGTGCCTTTGGAGCTGACTGTACACATTTGCTGGGGGAAAAATGCATGAGGGTTGATATATACACAGAGACACCCAGATCTAGGAAAATCTGAGGAAGTGAGACCAGAAAAGTCACCCTAACTTTGAACTTCCCCAACCTGTGCTGTTCAGGGAGCCCCGTTGAACTTCAGCCAGATGCTGAGCTTGAGGTTTCACAGGTTTGGGGCTCCCCCACCCCCAACGGGGCTATGCTGCACATTCTACACTAAACTGCAAAAACAGTGCTAAGTTATCAGTGGGTTTCATCTTTGTATAAGTCCTCTCACTATTAGCAGTTGGTAAATAGTGGGCTGTATTTGTCTGATCTTGGCAAGCCTTGGACTTTTCTAAACATACTCTGATAAGTTTATTTACAAACACTACTTAGAAATTTGGAATTGTATTTCATTTCCAGTAACCTTGTAGATTCCTAAGAGAGTCACTGGTTGCTGGAAAATAAACACAAGCTCTTTTCAGTACAAATAATGTCTGCATACAGCTCCACAGGTGGATGAGCAGTAAATTATTACATTAAATAAGGTTTTCCTCGGAGATTCCTGGATCATATCTGGACATATTAGTGGGAAAGAGGCTTCACCAGTTGCTCCTAGTGTGGAAGCCTTTGGGAAATCATTAGAAAGCAATAATGTTGTCATCAGTATTCTTCTAAACTTGCCCATTATGATTTTGTTATGATTTTGAAGGTAGTGTAAACCCAAAGTACATAGAGCTGTGTGTGATCACAGAGGTGGAAATAGACAGACATGTTCAGTTTGATGTTATTGCTCAATAATACAACTTTGTAACTATACAATATATTAATAACAAGAAAAAACAGACTTTTTTGGCCTTTTAATTATGATTATATTGTCTAAAAATGCTATTTTGGAGGAGTAACATGCCCACTTGTATGACTTCTGCATTGTAAAATGCAGTTAAGATTTTCATTGTTTCCATCCATGGGTTGGTGGCCAAATGAATTTTTTGTATCATTCTCAAGTGTTCAGAAATGTATTTTTATAAATGCTACAAAATGTTAACCTAGCTATTTCAAGATGTATTTGACCCAAAGAAATACCACTTTAACAGTGGAACTTAGCAAAAGTAAAACAGATTCTGCCCTTTTTCAGGGGGGAAATAAGAAAACAACATATGTTGAAAATTTGAGTGGCTCCCCATGTGTTCCTGACAGGCAGCAGGATTTATAAAGTATTTCTCTCTTTTATGTAGGTAAGTCCAGCTGTGAGCAGGGTGTTCTGTTCTTCACTTCCAGCAAGCCAGGTCAGTGTCTTTTCCAAACCCATGACTGTAGATTGATGACAACCTGTGTCTAACTAGTTCTGAGCATGCATTTCAGAATAGGTTTCCTAGTCGTTTGTCTTAAAAGAATTTGTCTGTGTCATTTTTTAGGGATTCAATTATGAACATCACAAGTTCAATGATTATTAAAATTTTTGTTTACTCTGTGAGTACAGTGGTGCAAAAATAGACTTTTAATAAGTTTGCGTTCTAGAAGACTTCATTTTTCACTTTGGGCATCAAAATGGTGCTGTAGAATTGAGGATACGGGAGATCTGGGTGCTTGATAATTGAGGTTTTACTTCTGTCTTAATCTTAGCACTCTGGAGCTGGAAGAAACTTGATATAATAATAGTTGACATTTATTGAGCATGAATCAAGGTTCAGGTAATGTACTGCATTCTTTACATTTATATTCTCATTCTGCCTTTAAAAAATCTCTGTGAGGTGACATCACTTTCTTGAGTCTCAAACTACAGGTGAAGAGTTGAAAGTTCAGAGAGAGTTATATAATACGTTTAAATTCCCACTGCTAGTAAATGGCACAAATAGGATTTTTTTTAAGTTCTGTCTTACTCTAAGACCTAAACTCTCTGGTTGAAAATTTCTTCTCCAGTAGGGAAACTGATGCCAAGAAAGGTTAAATGATTTGCCTAAGAGAACTTGGTAATGACAGCTCATATAGTAACACCCAATGGCCCAGCTGTAGCAAATGAATAAATTTCATTCTCTTAAGTAAAACAGTGAAATTACAAGTATTCATGTGTACTTTCTGGTATGGCACTGTCAAAGATATAAGAAAGTTTTTATCATGGGGTCTCTGACCTTGAGGATTTTACAGATTTAAAAAGTAAGATATTAAACATAACATGCATGAAAAGTTAGTGAATAAATCAAGATCATACATGCCAGAAGGCTGAATTGGGAGTCAGTGGTACGTTTACGAGAAGTTCAGCATTTTCCACTCTGTAAGATTACTTTGCAGTTATCCATGTATGCGAGGAAAAAATTTTTTTTGTCTGGATAGATGATAAATGGGTAAGAATTTGAGAAAAGACAGAAAGTAGAATTTCAACCCAACAGGGAGAGATTATGCAGTCATCCAGAACCACCATATTACAGTGTCTCAAACTCAAAGACATTATTGCTTCAAAAGCATTGTAACAAAATAGTGAGCTGTTTTAATCTGTACAGCATCTTTGAGAAAGCATCTTTGCCTGGTGCTTAAAAGTGCTGTATTTTTTTCTGGAACTTCAGTTTGTCTGAAAGGTGCCACGGAGATTTGGGTACATAATGGGTAAGTCCTAACCAAAGTCCTGAAAACAGACGATGTCTAAGAGTTAAGTAGGACATTTTCAGTTTTTGCCTGAACTGACAGCCTTCTCTCACCTCCTCCCCTCCCCTTCCATAAAATAGAATAATTTGTAACAGTTGTTAATCCTTTTAGTTTTATATAAAGGGGTAATAAAAAATGAAATGGGGAGCAAATTACTAAAGAAAACCTTAAGATATCTTTTTTAAAGTACTGATACTCCCGATTCAAGCTAGTAGCCCTAAAATCTTAATTAGTGAAGAGATTTTTTTAAGCACTTAAGGGGTTGCTTTATAAGCTTTTCTGTAACAGCTTTGTCCTATAAAAGTTGTTATGTAGTGCATCATTACAAAATAGGTCATATTCCATAAGAGCACTATTATTATTGGTAAGATCCCAATTATAGGCCAAGACCTCATCATCAACGGATTGATGGTTAGTTGTGATAATGGTATGTCATAAAAATATCAGTATAGCAACTGTAAACCTATAATTTATTTAAAGCAGTAAAATTACACTCTGCATCATATAATGGTATGGCCAAAAGGGATCTTGGAATTAGCATGGTATCTCTAATAATAATCACTTAATTAGCAATCATTTGTTTTCTCTTTTGAACTTCAGAAGGCTTTGATTAATATGCATGACTTTTCTTTTTTAAAATGGCTAGAAACATTTGAAATTTTGCGGTCTTTCTGCTCAGGAAATTTACCTGTGGAAAAGAGAGGAATTTTTAAATCTTTCTCCCCTCTGACTTCATGTAATATTTTTAAAGAGCACAGGTGATTCAAATCTGGTTCTTGGGTTCACATTCTCTTCTCCACCCAAGCTTCCCACCAACCTCACAACACCAAAACAAAACTTGGAGAGGGCTGGAAAATGAGTCACAACAGGTGTATGTGGACAGGGTGGGAGAGTGTGTGGGGGGGGAGGGGAGGGGGAAAGAGAAAACATTTGGGGAAACAGGAGGCAGTCACTCATATGGACTGGATGTTTACAGATTGGTTATTTATTAATATTTGTCATCATCAGAATTTTTTTCTTTAGTTTACAAACAAATTAAAGCCACCTCCTTCTCTTTCTGGCACCTTTTGTTCCTTGTGCACATAAGACAGAAACAAAACAAAATGGGCAAATAAAGACACTGAAAATGAAGTGTGGGTGTGACTGCTGCTCTTTCCAGACATTCCTGTCTTCAACTGCTGCCCAGCTGTGCCATCAAATACATCAGTATGTCTCTGATCAGGCTTTGTCCACCAAAGGGCAAATTAGCAAGTTTTACAAAGAAAGGAAGAGACACCAATATGTCTAGAAGGAAGCAATTACATTTCTCTAATCTGCACCTGAGTTTATGTATTGCATAGACACAGGTTAATGGTAAGTTCCCAGCATTAATGAGGTTATCATCTTAGGCTCCATCCCTCTGTGGAAAAATTTCCTTTGAGTTGTTACCCAGCCCAACCAATATAGCAAACCCTTCATGACCACTGCAGTAACAATAACTAGCATTTATGCTCCTACTAGATGCCAGACACTTTAACTGGATTACAGCTAAAATTCATCATCAGTTCCAATTTCACAGAAGCAAAAAGTGGAACTCAGAGATGTTAAGTTAAAGAGTTACTGGGAAGCTCCTTGCACCCAAGTCCATCTAAGAATTTGATATATTAATATATGTGTTCTAAATAAACTCCCAGGAAAAAAACACTTTAAACTATTTCATTCCAGGATATTCTTGCAGATGGTGGAGCATAGAAGTTAAATAATTATTCTTGTGGGTTTGAGTTTTTTTAATATTTATTTTTTATTTAACTTGAACTATGTAGAAGTTTTGCCTGGAGAAATTTACTGATTCTTCTGGTCATTCTTAATATATTTTGATGGAAGTCATGATCTGAAACAGTTCAGTGAAGGAGGGTTGAATCATGGAGCCAGGAAAGTTTTTATTAAGGATACTTAGTCCACCCTCGTATAGATGAAAAACACTGGCACCCAGAGACATGATGTAACTCGACCACTCTCATAGTTAATAAGTGACACAGCCTGAGCTGAACCCAGGTTTCCAAGTCCCAGCCAGGGCTCAGTTCCGTTACATAACACTGCTTGAAAAGTGCCAAGTCTTCTAAACCCTCCAACTTATCCAGAAATACAACTACCAAGTACAAAACACATCTGAACCCCAAGGCACATCCAGGAATGGGTGATAAGAGAATTCCAGCAGTGTAAAAATATGATGGGTGCTCAGAGTAACCTCGCTTATCTTCAGCGGCACTGAGATAGAATAGTCCTTTTCTGTTGTGCAGAATATAACACCCATAATCCAATCCCTTCCAAGCTGTCTTTGTTGAGTGATCTGTTTTGGAGCTTTTTAATTTTGACCAAACTCTGGCTTTTTATTAACTATGTGACTTAGGTGAAATATGACTTCACTTTCCTCATCTAGCAAAATGGGAAAAGTATCACCTCCCTGAGAGGATTATGAAGATATTACAAAATCGCATGTGTAAAGCACATAGTAGGTGTTCAATAAAGGTTAGTTCTCTTCTTAGCCTTCCTAGAGTATCTCAAAGAAAACTGTTGTAACACATTAGGGCAGTCATATCATTTTTTCCTCTAAATTTGCTGGAGTTATCTGAACTCTGATATTGCAAGGGATGGTTATAGTAATCATTTTACTTGAACAAAGACAGGCCCAGCGATCTCTCTGAGTAGCGGTGGCCCAGTCACCATTGCATTCGTGTTCTTCACACTCTAGGGTTGCCAAGGTTTACTTGAATTATTTTATTGCTTCAGTTTCTGCCACAAAGTAATACCAAGCTCCTCTTGGAGATGTGTGGCTTTTATTTTCTTCCAGACACTGTTCCTAACCATCTAAGGTGTTTTCTACCTAGAACTTTTGCATCTCAAAGCAACTATCATATTCCAGCCAAATAACCAAGAAATATTTCCAGAGAATATTATTGCCAGTAGCAAGTTTTTGAAACACGCAAGACTGTCCTACCTTCATTTCAATTAACTGTAGTGTAGGGTATTTGGGGTCTGCTGGGTCCTGTCTTTTCTTTTTGTCATGTGTTGCTGACTGATATATTGGCAGGAAAAGCATAAACACTGCAATTTCCCCCTTTCACCCTCAGCATTTGATAACTACCCTGGCCTAAATTACATCTCTGGGAAGTGTTTTGTCACACTCTTCTCCCCAGCTGCCACACGTTGTCATGTGGCCCTTGGCTGCCCTGCTTTGGACTTTTAGAACCAAGTCCTTGGCAACACGTCCTATTCATCACATACATGGAGGAAAGCTACCGCTGTGATTTTTATTTTTTTATACTTGTACCTGTTTTTCTTTTTTTAGTAATAATCCAAGTGGCCTAGAACAGAGTTTATTTTCCTGGTGGTACAGTTTCCCTTTTAGTCTTAGGAAAATGTATATTGCAAAATGTATGTCCTTTTCTTTAAGTTTAGGGGTAGCAATTATGTGTTTTCCCCAGTGCCATAAAGTGTCTAAACTGGGGCTAGAAGCTTCAAAATGACCGGTTTCTAGATTGTCCCTAACCTTATTACTGATCTCAAATCGGTTAAATATAAGTTTCAGTTCTTAGCAAGGAGTTAATTATTTTTAGAGCAGTGCTCAAACTTTAATGTGCATGCAGCAAGAGCAGGCTTCTTGTTAAAGTGCAGATTCTGAGTCAGGAGTTCTGGGGTGAGGCCTGAGATGATGCATTTCTAACAGTCTCTCCCTGGATGCCCACACTGCCGGTCTGAGGACCACACTCGGAGTAGTGAGGTTCTAAAGTATAGTTGTTACCACATCTTATCCTGAATTCATGCTTTGCAGACTATAAGTAGACCACCTTATTTTGTTTGATTGCTTCTTAAATCATAATAAAGAGTCATGGAATCTTAAATGTGGGAGAGGTGTAGACAGTGGGCTGGTAAATCAATCAGCTCTTTTGGAGAAAAAACAAGAATGCATATACAGGCATATACAAGATGATAATAAATTTTACCGACATAAAGAATATGTAGTACACAACTTACAAACAATAATAAACTATACAACATTCACTATTATAAA